TCGAGTCAGCGGTGCGCTGGGTACGCCTGGCATGCCCCCCCATTTCCTTCACTGTTCTCCCCTATATCCGCTTCAGTCCCATGGTCTGACCGACCAGGGCCTTCTCGGACTGCAAGTGTGCAGGAAATAGTCCGCCGCGCCACGGAGGAAAAAGAAAACAGTGGTACCGGTCTCACAGGCTCGTCGTACCGTACCTGAAACATGTCGAGCACGGCAAGATGCAGCGGCGCGGTAATATTACCGAACCTGAAGTAAACCGTCGCAATGATCCCGGACCTGAAAATAAATCACCGCAGAGGTTCCGAAATAAACTGTCGTGAGGGCGTCGAACTTGAAATGAAACACTGCGATGCCACCGAACCTGACCAAACCCGAAGTCCAGTGYCGGGCTGTTGTGYCATGMGAATGCCAAACYMGTACAATCATGCCATGATAACCTGTCCCGAACCTGATATAGAATGCCGCAACGTTTYCGGTCCTGAAAACAAAYTGCCRCCTGGAATAACTGTCGTAGTGGCCCCGGTCCTGAGAATAAATCACTGCAGCTGTCTCAAACCTGAAAATAAGTCACCGTAGTGAGACAGYTGTCACCGGGCCCATACCGTAYCTGAAGCACGTCAGACACCGTAGGACGTAGCCACTCCGTAACGACCCTCGTATYYGTACCGAACCAAACACCATAGTCGACCCAAGGCAGCACCACCCCATGMTGTCCATKCGACTCCTGCTCTCAGAACATCTCAACTGCGGTAATGTTAGTAATCAAGCACACCAGGGAAAGCGTCGYAGGGAACCTCGACCATCGGCAGTAGTGTTAACTTYGTTARAATCCGGGGAAAATGATCAATCCGGAGTCAGAGYTGATGGYGGGTATTCGAGGCGAAATTAGGCCARTCTCCCARTGGTCATGGGTTTCCGTCCCTTTCATCGTTTTTCATCATTCTTCCCTTTYCTTAATTCTATTGTCKGAAATAGTAAATTATCTGTAAGTTCCCCAAAATTAAATTCCGAGAAAATTTAAATAAATGGCCRAATTCTTTTTGTTTCTTTTYTMTTTTAMCAKTTTTAATCTTTTTYTATGTTTTTAATYCCATWRCCRGGAACATAAAATAACAAGGGTATTCCCCCTTGAATTTAATGTCGTTAAAAATAAAGAAATTAAGGGATATTATGTTTTCCCCTTCTCCCCTACTGGTCGTAATCCCTTTTCCCCATCTTTAATTATGGTACTAAAATAGACAAAAATTTGAGGCCTCATTTCGGCCACGGTCGTATGCCGCAAAAAATGTGGCTACGAGGTCAGTTCCCGCGATGCCTCTCCGCGGCAGACCAATCCGGGTCTACCCCTCTGGACAGCCGGAAATGACTGTCCGTTGATGTGCCGAGTTGTTCACCCATCTCGCCATCTTTGAGGGTTACCCGTAAGGTTCAGCGCGCCCAAAATCAAGGGCGCCCTAAGCTCCCCTAATTTCCGCTGCCTGGTCTAACCAGAGTATCGTCAAAACTCAGACTCGTCTTTGCACCTAAGTCCCAAAACCGTAGATTTCAGGCGGCGCACTGCTTGTGGCCGCCTGACAGTTAGCCCGGACCACTTCTCGACGCCCCCGTCGAGCCCTAGCAACTTACGTCAGACGAAGCGGATGAGCTTCAGGGTGATGGCCCGTAAAGGTCGCCCACGTCGGCGTTCAATTGTCTTATGTTTCAATTTGTTATGAGTCCTGAAGCTAAGAAGATGTTTCTTGACTCTCCTGTCTCTTCTGGTTTTGGCCTCGGCACGATCCTCTTTTTCTTCTATCTTTGCCTCGAGAAGGGTGTCGACCCGCCAGTACGTCTAACGCGAACTCTCCGTTTAGCTCGCTTAAGCACGAATAACCATCTCTTCTCTCTTCCTAAAGCTAACCCTTTGACCTTTCTCTTCTCTATTTTTTTCCTTTTCTTGGAACTCTCCCGTGCCCCGAATTGCCTCAAGGGGGCTCTATCCTCTATTTTGGCTTTCCCTTTCCCTTTCGGGCTCGTCAGCGATAAGATGGGCGCGGGCCTGGGCCTAAACAGCTTTAACCTTGCACCCGCCACTGGGTCCTTCCACTTGGATCCGTCTAATTCTGCTATCATATATGCACCCTAGTCGAGTGCCTCAACCACTCTGTAAGGTCCCATCCATCTATCTGCGAGTTTTCCGGTTCAGGTCCTCTCCAGTGCTCACCCTCTCTTTCCTGATTCGCACGTTCTTATCTCATCTCTTTACCCTTGCCCCTTTCCACTGCCAGACGATCTGCCGCTGTCATGAGGTTATCTTCCAAACCGTAGGCTATCTGTCTTGTTCGGGCGGCTAAGAGTTCCTCTCTGGACATCTCCTCTGCCCAGTCGACGGTTGTCCAGCTGTCGACGTGGAACTCTATGGGAAGCGGACAATGTCGCCCAAACCACAAGGTGTACGGTGGGTATCCGGTACTAGCCCGGACCGTGACGTTGTCCGCCCATATTGCGTATCGAAAATATCGT